GGGCTGGGGATTCGAACCCACCACCTTAGATGTATGTGGCTGGCGCCTTAGCCGCTTGAGCCACAGGCGCCGAGCCGGTTTGTTTGTTTTTTGAGACAGAGTGGCACTGTGTTGCCCTCGGTAGAGTACCATGGCTCCATAGCTCCCAGCAACCTCAAACGCTTGGGCTGAAGGGATTCTCTTGCCTCAGCCTCCCGAGTAGCTGGGATTACAGGCGCCAGCCACAACGCCTGGCTATTTTTAAACGTGGGGTCTCTCTCTTGCTCATGGTGGTCTCCAATCCGTGAGTTTAGGCAATCTACCTGCCTCAGCGTCCCACAGTGCTACTATTATAAGAGTGAGCCACCACACCAGGCTGTTTGTTTGTTTTTTTCTTTTTTCTCTCTCCTCCCTCCAGACAGTCTCCTTTTGTGGCCCTGGGCAGAGGAAGTAGAGAGTAGACATGATGTCATAGCTCACAGCAACCTCAAACTCTTAGGCCCTAGAGATCCTCATGCCTTAGCCTCCAGCCTAGATAGGGTCTTGCTATTACTCAGGCTGGCAAGAGATCCACTCCCTTGGCCTCCCAGAGTACTAGGACTACAGTTGTGAGCCACTGGGCCGCTGGTCCTGCTTCTTGTGTTTTGAATGAAGGAATGCAGAGTACTTGACCTCTTCCCTCAGATCTGTCTTTGTCCCTAGGGCACTGCACTTGGCTGTGATTCATCAGCATGAACCGTTCCTAGATTTCCTTTTAGGCTTCTCAGCGGGGACCGAGTACCTAGACCTGCAGAATGACCTAGGCCAGGTGAGCCACTAGGGGCAGTGTGGGGCTTGGGTTCCGGGGTCCTCAATGTGCTGCCTAACCTCACCCTCTGTTCCTGCAGACAGCTCTGCACCTGGCAGCCATCCTGGGGGAGTCATCTGCGGTGGAGAAGTTGTATGCAGCGGGCTCTAGATTGTGTGTGGCAGAGCGTGGGGGTCACACAGCGCTGCACCTGGCCTGCCGAGTGGGCGCACATGCCTGCGCACGGGCACTGCTCCAGCCCCGCCCCCAGCGGCCCAGGGAAGCCCTTGACACCTACCTCGCTCAGGACCCTGACTACATCCCTGTCACCGACCACACCCCTGATACCGACCACAGCCCTGTTGTCCTGTACCCCGAATCTGACTTGGAGAAAGAAGAAGAGAGTGAAGAGGACTGGAAGCTGCAGCTGGAAGCTGAAAACTATGATGGTGAGTGTCCTGGTCACTGGGAAGGACTCAGGCTCCCAGGCAAGGCTAGAGTACCTAGCTGTGCGCTCAGCTTCCCTGACTCAAGATCCAGACCCTTGCGAAGTTCTAGTTAAGCTTCAGGGACCCAGGCATCAGGACCAAAGACTTCCACTCAGTCCCCAGATTATTGAGAATTGAATATATGGAACTCAGGATCGACCCCCAGCTGGAGGCCCCAGACCACTTAGGATTCAGACCTCTTACCAACAGATCCAGAGCTGTAAGGATTCAGTTGCTGGGCCCCTGCTCCCCACCTGTAAGGTGTATTCACCCCAGGATTCCCACCCCAACACAGAACTAAGGAATTCAAAGCCAGGGCCCTGTGTGAAACTCTGCTTTTCAGGTTCCCAGCAGTGGGCAGCAGAATTCAGGGACAGCCCTCTTCAGCCAGGCCTCATGAGAAAAAGGACCCATCTCCCACAGTCCTGGCATCTGAGTATCAGCTTCCTTAGCTATAAGCCCAACTACCTGGAACAAGGTCCCTTCACAAATAGATTGAAGTCACCCAGGACATAGCGTTTAGGGCCCACATTCTAGCCCTGGGTCATACGCTTTTCACCCATGGGCCCCAGATGTCCCCCATCCCAGGCATAGGCAGCTTCTGGCAAGCTGAAACAACCTGAGGCCTGGGCATTTGGGACCCTGGCATCTCTTTGATATCACAGGTATTAAGAAGCCAGATCTCTTGGTTTGACGCCTGTAGCTCAGCAGCTAGGGCACCAGCCACATACACCAGGGCTGGTGGGTTCAAACTCGGCCCGGGCCTGCCATACAACAATAACTAAAACAACAAAAATAGCCAGGCATTGTGGCAGGTGCCTGTAATCCCAACTACTTGGGAGGCTGAGGCAAGAGAATCGCTTAAGCCCAAGAGTTTGAGGTTGCTGTGAGGTGTGATGCCACGGCACTCTACTGAGGGTGATAGTGAGACTGTCTCAAAAAAAAAAGGAAGCCAGATCCCAAACCTGATCACTCTCAGGCCACCTGGGCCTCTCCCTGGATTGTGGCTCTATGGCCTCAGGCTCCCCACCACATTGTCTGATGCTACTCTATTCTCAGGCCATACAACATACAACATAAAACATACTCTATTCTATGGCTCTGTGGCCTCAGGCTCCCCACCACATTGTCTGATGCTACTCTATTCTCAGGCCACACCCCACTCCATGTGGCCGTCATCCATAAAGATGCAGAGATGGTCCAGCTACTCCAAGAAGCTGGAGCTGACCTCAACAAACCGGTAAGACCCTGCCGTGGGGGAAGCTGGAGGGTAGGGGAGTATGTTGTATCCTTCCCAGGCCTTCTGACTGCTCTGCTGCACCCCACAGGAGCCCACATGTGGCCGGAGCCCCCTGCACTTGGCAGTGGAGGCCCAAGCAGCTGATGTGCTAGAGCTCCTCCTGAGGGCAGGAGCAGACCCTGCTGCCCGCATGTATGGTGGCCGTACCCCACTGGGCAGTGCCACCCTCCGGCCCAACCCCATCCTTGCCCGCCTCCTACGTGCACATGGAGCCTCTGAGCCCGAGGATGAAGATGACAAGCCTGGCCCCAGCAGCAGCAGTAGTGACAGTGACAGCGACAGCAGGGATGAGGGCGTGAGTCAGGAGGAAAGATGGGGAAGCCTAGGAGGGGGGTCAGGGTAAACTAGCATGCAGGAAAGGGGAGAAGATAATTAGTGCATTGAGACTGACTTTGGACTCCCTCGATTAGAGAACTTGGGCAGCAGCATGAGTGACATGGGGCAACAGTCAGGAGAGACTTGGGCAGTGGTGACCAAAATATTAAAAGACACTGGCAGAGGTGAGACTCAGGCAGAAGTAGAGAAACGACTATGGTCATGATGGTTGGTGAGCACAGGCAGTGATGGGTGTCAGCACTGGGGGTGATTTTGGGGAGCAAGAGTTGGAGAAATCAGGCTGTGGGGGGATGACTGTGGGCAACAGTGATCTGAGCACTGAAAGAGAGAGGGAAAGACCTCAGGGAGCAGTGAGGAGAATTCTCTCTAGTTGGAGCAGCAGTGATTTGAACACTGGAAGAGGTGGGGGAAAGACTTCAGGGAACAGTGAGGAGTTCTCTCTAGTTGGAGAACCCAAGCAGCAGAGGTAGTACTTTGGGTGGGGTGTGCTGTTGGATGGTGAGGGTTGAGGAATTTGGGTAAAGGTGGAGGGAAGGGGTGGAGGAGAGAGAGAGACTTCAGATTGCTGAAATACAGGAGCTCCAGTGGTAGTGTGGGATAACTTGGGCCATAGGAGAAATGACCTTGAAAATGGTGTCTGAGAGCTAGATGCTGGGAGGAAAGTTGAACCAGGAGCAAGGGAACTCAGGCTTGAAGGCAAGCCCCAGTTCTTCTGGTTTTGTTTAAGGACTTAGATAGTGGGCCAGGTGACAATCCCCTGAGTAGCAATATGAGCCTCTCTGCCTGGCCCCCTCTACCTCCAGGATGAATATGACGACATCGTGGTCCACAGTGGCCGGAGCCAAAACCGGTTGCCTTCCACTCCAGCCTCAAAACCTCTTCCTGATGACCCTGGCCCTGTCTGATTTGTTTAATTTTTAATATGATTTCCAGTTTAATAAAATTGTAATTCTGATAACCAGAGTCCAGACATACTTGTCTCCTTAGTCCTTCAGTTTCTTGCCAGGCCCATCCCTCCAATGTCAAGTTCTGCACACTTAGCCGTGGTGGTTTTCTTTTGCTTTATTCACTCAGAAGGGCTGGAGGGAATCAGATGGGTGTGGGGGTGTTTCCTGAGTGGATCTGAGCGCAGCCCCCCTGCCCGTGACAGACTGGTGTCCTCAGACTTCGTTCTAAGGCACACCTTTCTCCCCACCTCTGTCAGGATAGGGCTGGAGTAGGGTGCTGGGTGAGGTGGGGGCTTAAGGGCTAACAGTCCTAAGCCATAGGGTGTGTTGGGGTTCAGTCCTCCCTCCTGAGCTGCTCCCCCAGCATCTCCGTGGCCTTCTTCAGCTCATCTCTCACATGCTCCAGCTGCTCCATGTCATGCTCCTGGTAGGGTCAGAAATGGGGGAGTCAGCACCTACCTTCACAGGCAGGCCACCTCACTGGTCACCCTGGCAAGAAGGCCACGTCAGTTCTCACAGTGGCAGCCAGAAGCAGTCATCCTAGTCATCAAGGACTACAAAGGTAACCATGTAACCTCAGAAGAAGTACAATGGCCAATGTGCCCACAGCCAACAGCAGTAGCATGGGACTAACAAAGGTGCCCACCTTGAGTGTCATGACCCACGTTTGGCTCTTGGTTACTGCCACCAGTCATGGCAACATCTGACATTCCAATACCCAGCAGTGGTATCTGTCTATAGCAGGCATCCTCAAACTACAGCCCACAGGCCACATGTGGCCCACCTAGGACATTTATCCAGCCCGCTGGGTGTTTATGCCACTGCTGCCTGTTCTGCTTAGGAGCCAACTCGTCCCGGGGCCTGCACTCTGGTCCTCCAACGGTCTGAGGGACAGTGAACTGGCCCCCTGTTTAAAAAGTTTGAGACTACAGCCTAGTGAAGCAGACATAACCCATTTTTCTTGGTGGTCAATGTGCGTGTTATGGGCTAGCAATGGTGGCTTTTTCAGGTGATGTCAATAATGATGGCTCTCTCAGTTACTGTGGTCTTGGTGTGTAAACTTCCCTGGTTGGTCAAGAGGAGGCCTCGTGGGCGATGCCTGTGGCTCAAAGGAGTAGGGTGCTGGTCCCATATTCCAGAGGTGGCAGGTTCAAACCCAGCCCCAGCCAAAAAATGGCCAAAAAAAAAAAAAAAAGGAGGCCTTGTGTGTGGATGTTGCTACCTAGTCCTGGTGTCAGGTTTTCCTTTTTTTTTTTTTGAGATAGTCTCACTATGTTGCCCAGACTGGACTTGAGCCCTAGCCTCCAGTGGTCTTCCTGCCTCAGCCTCCCAAGTAGCTGAGACACAGGTGTAAGTCATCATGCCTGGCATCTGGTGTCAATCTCACTATGATTCACTCATCATGGGTCTGGCTGCAGGATGGCCCAACACTAGTAGTCATTTAGTGGTAACTTTACTGACCATCTGGGCAGCCCCAGTCCCTCACTGCCTTGGAGTACCTCCCTCCACTTACCTCCCTCTCCGAAGCCTCTTCCTTCTCCTCCTGCCCGGGCTCAGTCTCTGGCAGGTGGTGCCGGTGGTGGTGGTAGTGCAGGGACTCCTCGTGCCTCTCTCCTCCGCCCCCCTCAGCCCCCTGCCACAAACCGTGGCCCCCACCCAGCACCTGCATGCCCTTCTCCTCTGCCTCAAACTGAGCTGTCTCCTCATCTCTGGCCTTCTCTGCCACCCGCTTCTGGAGGCCCCCTCCACCCTCTAGACGCTGCTGCCACAGGTCCTCAAAGATCTCCATGGGGCCCCTCTTTTCCTCCTCCCCCTCTTCCTCCTCCTCCTCCTGGTGGAGCTGGCTCTGGAGTTTATCGCGGATGGCTTGTTCCTGGACCTCAGACTTGTGGGTTCTCTCTGTGGTCTCCTCCTCTTCATCCCTCACCTCCTGGCTGGACCTGGCCTTCCCAGCCTCTTGCTTCTTGAAATCCCCAACTAGCAGGCCTTTCTCCCCAGGGGACACGCAGCTGTTGGGCTCTGTCTCGCACATCTCTGACAAAAAGAGACAGGACACCCTCTGAGAAGGGATGGGAAGCTGAGTCCTTGAAGAGTTCTGGGCCCTGCCTGGCCTCCCATAGGAGGCCGCCCAGAACATTCCATCCCTCTGCAGGGTGCCCCAAGGTTGGGGCCAGTGGCCTGGTTGTGGCAGGTGGGAATGCTGGGCAGTGCCACACTGGCCCGGGGAAGGGGCTCTGGGAATGAGAAATGGACCCCTCCTGCAGGTGGCCTTAGGTGGGAGGGTATGTGGAACATCCTGGGGCTCTGGAGAGGACCCGGGGCCTGGCCTCCTTACCTCTGTGAAGGAGAGCCATGCAGGGTCCTCTCTGGGCCTGGCCTGGTGTTAGCACCTCTGTGACCGCCTCTGCCAGACAGCGTGTTAGCTGCGGGGCAGGGGTGAAGGGTCAGAGGAGAAGCTGAGAGCAGGGGAAGTGTGGAGGGCACATTGCTTGGGAGTGAAAGGGGAGAAGGGGATGGTGGAGCAGGCTGTGCAGGGAGGACAGGGCCCGGGCAAGATGAGGCGGATCAAGAGTGCCGCATTCCTCACCTCCTCCTTGGAGGGTCTGAGCGCCAAGGGAGCCGCGGTGGCTGTGGAGGGAAGAAGGTGGAGGGTGCTGTGCTGAAGAGACCCCGGACGCTGTCCCCGGTGCTGACCCCAGCTCCACGGGCTGCTCATTCCCACACGTCCCTTCCCAGCGCACCTGCCGGGTGCACGGTCCCCACTTGTAAGGCCAGACTCTGAGGTCTCTAGCCCGATCCCGTGGGTACACTGCCCCTGCCCCGGTCGCCCGAGCCCCTCGGGTGTCGGACACTCACCCGCCCCCAGCAGCAGCGCCAGGAGCGCAGGCAGCAGCAGCAGCAACAGCGCGGACGCGGGCCCGCGGCGGGGCATGGTGGGGTGTGCGGACCGGTCCTCTGCTGTGCGGGCGCCCGGGGGCAGCGCTTATAACCCGCGCGGTGGCCCCCCGCAGGGCAGGAAGTGACGCCACCGCCGCCCCCTCCTCGCCACAGCAGGCGACAGCTGCGGGGCGGCCAGCCTGCCCGGGACCCTCAATTATTCACGGGCCACGCCCCACACCCACTGCCCTCGAGGCGTCCAGCTTCCCTTTACACTGGACAGGGTCTGCAGAGCTTCCCGGCCGCACCGGGCTGGAAGGCAGGGCGGAAACGCATAGATCGACCTCAGGCAGCTTCTTCCTTCCTGGGCCTCGGTCTTCTCATCTGGAGAGGGGGTCTTCTAAAACCCCTTCCTCAGCGGTTGTGGTTGGGTTCTGGCCCAAGACCCAGCTCCACCACTTTGACAGCTGTTTGGCTCAGGAACAAACCTTTTTGACCCCAGGGACAAGTTTAATCAGTTTAATGGAAGACAATTTTTCCACAGACCCAGGGCGGAGGCGGGGTGGTGTGTGTGGCGGGGTGGTTTTGACATGGGTCTGGCAAGCAATTGATTTCTTATGGTTTCTGTGCAGTCAAACCCCTCTGCTAATGAGCTAATGATAATCAATCAATCAATCTATCTATCTATCTTTATTTTTTTGAGACAAGACTCTCACTCTGTAGTCCTGGGTAGACTGCTGTGGCGTCATCACTCACAGCAACCTCAACTTTTCTTGCCTCAGCCTCCCAAGTAGCTGGGACTACAGGCAGCCACTACAACCCCTGGTTAGTTTTTCTATTTTTAGAGAGACAGGCCTCTCGTTTTTGCTCAGTCTCAACCTCCTGAGATCAGGTGATCCACCCTCCTTGGCCTCCCAGAGTGCTAGGATTACAGGTATGAGCCACCATTCCAGGTGATAATCTGTATTTGTAGCCACTCCTCAGTGCTAGCATCACCACCTCAGGTCCCCCTCGGATCACCGGGCATTAGATTCTCATAAGGAGCCCTCAACCTAAGAGGTTTCCTCCTTGGTCAAATAGGGTTGGTCACAACCTACTCCACAGCTTGACAGTAAGGATTAAATAATGTGTACACAGTGCTTAGGGCAGTGCCTGACACCAGAACTGCACAGGCTTGAGTACCCTCATTCTGGTAACTTTTTGGGTTTTTTTGAGACAGAGTCTCACTTTGTCCCCCTTGCTAGAGTGCCCTGGCATCATAGTTCACAGCAACCTCAAACTTTTGGGTTTAAGCAATTCTCTTCTCTCAGCCTCTGGAGTAGCTGGGACTACAGGGGCCCGCCACAACACCGGGGTATTTTTTTGCTGCAGTTTGAATTCGCCACTCTCGGTATATGGGGCCAGGGCCCTACCCATTGAGCCATAGGCGCCACCTTTTTGAGACATAGTCTCACTTTGTCACCGTCAGTAGAGTGCCATGGTGTTATGGCTCACCACCTCAAACTCTTGGGCTCAAGAGATCCTTTTGCCTGTTTTGCTTCTTTCTTT